AAGGCAAGATATTTATTCTACTTAATTCCTAATAAAGAAAATGTATTAGCTGAACTCTAAGATTAGATCAAGCAAATATTTTTATTATCTTTTAAAAATCAGAAATGTGCTTTGCTTATCTATCATCTTAAAAAGGATATGTAAGGGATTGTTCGTACTTTTAAGACTGATTTTTTAGAATTACAGATTAAGGAATATTATAGTAAATCTGATTTGGTAGAAAAGACTTACAATTTCAGTAATGTTGAAGAAGCATAAAAAGTTATAGACCTAATTGCTTATACTATACTCTAGAAATAGAAATATTTTGTATTAATCCTAATTTTAAGCGAGCATTTTATTTCTTTAATAACTATATAGAAATAAATGCTAGAATAAATTAGATATTATTCTGCATATAATACATTAAAAATTATATATATTATATTGAGCAAAGATCATTTAATATTCCTATTATTAGAAAAAAAAACTATTTTAATAATTGTTGAATGCTAAACATAAATGTCTCCTCTAAGAACTTCAGAATAGAAAAATATTTCTAGATATTGACTCTATTATTTAGAATAAGAATGTACTAACTATTTGATTATAGGTAGTATATATATTAGAAAAATTTTAATCTTATCATTTATTTGGCTAGAGAATAGTTGATTTTCTTCAAAATGTAAGTATGATAATTTCTATCATAGAACTTATTTCTAAAGTTAAAGATAATATGATATCATTATCCCAAATAGTAAAGGTAAGTTCATCTATTATTAAAGTAAAAAAAATTTCAGATATTTCAAATGCTTGTATTCTTGATCATGAGATAGCTAAAGTTTTGAAAAATAAGCCAAAGAAGACTTTAAAGTAAATGCGATCTTTAGACTGACATTATATTATAGAATGTTAGAAGATCTCACTTGAATCATTGTCTAGAGATTTTATTTGAAGTATGGAAATTATAATTATATGAAATAGTTCAAAGCTTATAGACAGTTATGGGAATAATAAAGTAGCAATTAAGACTATTACTTATAAAATTATAGGAAAGATAAATTAATTGTAACTACTCAAGCTGAGAAATATCAAATTTGTCTGAAATTACTAAAAACATATACATCTACTAAAGATGTCAATGATAAAGCAAGATATAAATCTGATAATGTCAACACTTATCTGAATTCTCCTGAATCAATATCATATCTTTAGAATTTAATACCTAAAATAACTTAAGTTTTTAATAATACAGATGCATCACATAAGATTAAAAAATTAGAATTAAAACTGTTCAAGCAAAATTTAGTTTACTAAATTCAGCATTTTATGTGATATATAGATTAAAATTTAAGGCTATAGATAAGAATCTTAAATATTATTATCTGGTTAGATCGTTTGATAGTAAAGATGTTCTTGAGTTATTTTCATATCAAACAGAAAAGAAAATTTATTGGAAAAATAAAAATAATACTCAGTATGAGTATAGCAAACTCTTATCTGATGAATTATTAATGAAGAATAAACGACTAAAATTATTTATAGTTTAAATATGAATACTATGCTAATTGCAGAAGATATTCAAGATTTATTTAGTATAGCGTAGGCAAGTTTTATTACAAAATAAATATAAGTCTTCTGTCATAATTTTATATAATAATTCTATAGAAGATTTATTCTCTAGATTAGTATTCTTAATTTGATCTATTCAATGAAATTAAGTTGAATACTACTTCAAATACAATTTATTAATGCATTATAAAAAATATAGTATCTGCTATTTTTAACAATTACCATACAAGTTGAAGTCTCACACTTATGTAAATAATATTTTTATTCATTTTTTAGCAGATAATTTAGCAGAGATTCCTAGTGCTTTAAATTTTAAGCTAATACTAATTCTCAAATAAACCTAAACCCATATTCTCATCATCTGACTCATAAACTGGAACTTTAGGGATTTTGGGTTAAAGGATTTCAATTAATAATTTATAGATCTCTGTAGGTTGAAAGTCTTATCTAATAATTCAGAGGTCTTTACAAATTGAAAGACCTTGATCTTATACTTTTTGTCTCATTTATAATTTAGCAAATGAAATTTATCTGAATAATCAAAACAATATTCTGTAGTAAAAACAGTATATTTATGATAACCAAGGTAATATTTTTTTCTATATTTTTTCATACAATTTCTAGTGCTTATAATATCTGATAGGGTAATAGCTCTTATTTCTACAAACAGTACTATTTTTCTTGATATATAGATAAGTAAAGTGAGCTATAATTAAAGATGCTAAAGCAAAAGTATTTTAAAATATAAAACTCTCTTTTATTTTTAATTTATAATAAAATATGTATTTAAATTAATCAGTATTATAATAAGATAAATTATTTTTTTATACTTATATTATAGACATATTAGACCAATTGGCAGATGAGATTCACAAAAAAATCTATAATTTCAAAATTAATCATATGACTCTTTACAATAGAAAGGGAGGAAACTACCAAAAAAATTTTTTGCTTTATAAGCTAAATATTATTTTTTTAATAAAATAAGTCTAGATTTAATATTAACTCAAAAAAAATTTTTTTGCTAGTTTTCTTCCTTTCTATTGTAAAGAACCTATATAGTTATTATAAATAAGCCAATGTATCATAAATTGTTATATGATGAATATATGCATTAGAAAGAAAAAAGATTTTTAATTTTGCCTTTACATAAATCGTCAATATTAAAAAGATATTTTTCTTTTATCTCCTATCATATTTAAAGTATTATATCAGAAAAAAGTTTGCTAATACTGATTAATAAAAAAATAAGTCTATTGCAAATCTTGCTCTAAGCTAATTAGTGCAACTTTACTTTATATCAGCTATTAAAATTATGCTGAAAATATAAAGAGACAAAAGTTTAAAGAAATAACATACTCATAAAATTTCTCTATTACCTAAATTTAGTATTACTTAAAAGTAATTTAGGTGCTTTATATAACACATTTATAAAATAGATATTTTAGAATTAGATCATATATTAACTCTAGCATAAGTATTTTACTAAAATGTGAATCGATATAAATAATTTATTTATAACTTTAGAATGAGTTCTATAATTATATTTTTATTGCTTATCCTATCTACCTGTAAATTTCAAATTGATGTAAAACTTATTTTTGGCCATAGTGAATGGTCTTAAAAAGACTCTGTATAGGATATATTATTATTTTTTACTCCCTTAACCTAGTCAAAAGTCATCTCTGATATTTTCTCTTTTCAAAGAAGCATAGCTCAGTGAAAATTTTTTGAATTGAACTTTTTATATATAATATAAAATCAGTATATTTTAATATACTTAACTTTATTGTGATCAAAAAACAATATATCAAAACTTATTACAGATTACATGAAATACTATAAATAGACTTCTAAAACTCTGTTATTTGAACTAACTAAATATACAGAGGAGATTAATAAAAATTTAAAGAATCGTAAGGCAAGAGCTTATGCTAAAGCATACTTTTAACAATTAGAACTTTCTAAAGAATAAATAAAAGTTCTCAATCCTATTTGATCTTTTGAAAAGTATGAAGAAGGTAGGAAATTGTTGATAAAATTACTTAAGAAATTGTGAATAATAATTATTCGTTTGAGAAATTAATAAAATTTTATATGATTTGAATAATTCTACATTCAATCTAGTTGCAGAAAGTTCTCAGCTTATTTTATTGTAAAATAAGTTACAGAAATAAGAAGTTGATCATCTTAAAATAAAAGCAACAAAAGTTTCTCACATTACTATAAAATCAAATAAAATTTAAGCATAATAGTATATATTTGATGAATATAAGGATTTTGAATGTTCTAAACACTATTACTTAGAAAAGTTTCAAAAAAAACTTAAAAAATGTGATATTTTCTCATCTTCTACTAAAAAAAATCTAATTAATATTATAATAATACTGTCTATGTAACCAGTAGATGTTATTAGTGTTTCTATTGATAAATATGATATTTCAGATGAGATGTGATATAAGTCTAATTACAGCTGATATTATACTAGTTATACCAAAATTAAGGGTGAAATGAAATCAGAAGAACCCTGACTCAATGTAAAAAGATCTAATACAAGCGAAAAAGTTATTCACTTAGATTCAGAATACAATACTGAAAAAATTTTCTTTCTTACAAAAAATCGTAGTTGTATAGTTAACATAAATCTGATTAATACTGCTATAACTAAACACAAAATTACTTCACATAAATTAAAAATAATAGATGCAAATTATATTAGCAGAATCCATAAAGATAGGAATGATTCTTATCATCAATATTTGCAAAAATTGGCTTATAGACAAGTAGTAGGCAGAGTTATATCAGTAAAATACTATGGTATAATGAATAACTCACCTTCTTGTAATTGTTCAAAAGGTCAGGGAATCAGACAAAGATAAAAAAAAATGAATTAATCTTACTAATGTAGTAATTATGCTTTATATATGTTTAATTGATCAAATAAGTTCATTCTGCATCTTTGATGAAAACTGATTACATAGAAGATTAGAGAAAATTTTTATAATACTGTGAGATATAGTTTATTAAATTTTATTTTTTCATTTACCTAAAATCTAGTATATATAAAATATCGCAAAAATAGTAACTGATCAAAATTATTTATCTGATAGTACATATAACAAGTAGGAAGTTATCAGATATACAAAAAAATTAACTTAAACACTTAGACTAAACAAGCAAAATGCAGAAGTATATAGTGTACTTTTTAGTGAAAATAGGGCACTAAAGAAACAATTAAAAGATTATCATTCCCAATATAATACTTTAGAAAGAAGAGTAAAAAGATTGGAAAAAGATATAGGATTCTTAAAAATCAAATTAGAATATCTAGACGAATGTATAGATAAGAGGATTGTAATTAATTTAATACATGAAATAGCTCTTTCGCTAAATATTAAAAAATGTAAGAATTCCTCCTATTCATCTGAAATATCTGAAGATTCTGATGAATGGGTAGAGAAGAAGTTATTGGTTGATTAAGTAATCATGAGACATCATCAATTTAAAAAAAAAATATTATAGAAGAATCAGGTAAATAAATCATTATTATATCATCTTATAAAGAAATTTAGAAGAGCAATGTTCAATACAGGCATTGATGTAAGTTGTGTTATTAAAAAAATTATCAATAAATGATAATTTTATTTTTTTGTTTAAAGATATAATATATATCATTTATAGTGCATACAGGTATTTTTAATATAGTAAAAGTATTAAAATAAATTTTATATTTCTTAGAAGTAGATAAGTTACTTTATTTTACTTTATTTATTTGTCAGCTTTGGTATAGATGTAATACTTTAATTTTATAGAAATATGGGAGTGTTTCTAGGAAAATCAGGTTCCGAGAAATTTTTGACTAAAATAAAGAGTTTAATACGTTTTAATCTAATAACATCAAAAACTAAAATGCAATAAAAATCTCAATTTTGCTAAAAAATTCCCGGAACCTGATTTTCCTAGCAATCAACCTATATATCGAGCTGAAGGAAAATAATCAGAGATATAGTTATAATATGAAGAATTATTTTTAATTAAAAAAATTTGTAAAAATAATATGCAGAAATAATAAGCCAGCTTATGCCTCAAATGTAATTCATCTAAAAATTACTTGTTACTATTTAATTTCAGATAATAAAATAAGAAGTATTGTAGATACATTTTCAAATATAATTCATTTAAATTTTAAAAAAAGTATAAGTTTTAGCAATAATACGTTAATTCTGATAGTAAGAGTATATTCTAATTTGAGATATCTCAATCTATAGAATGCTCAAATAATAACTGATAAAGGCTTATATGCACTCACAAAATTATATTATAAATTAGAATATCTAAATATTTTTTATTACAGAAATATTATTGATTAATCTTTGTTTGAAATTGTAGAAAATTATCATGATTTATAAGAATTCCATTTTTCAAAGCATGTCAGATCACAGAAAAATCTATGAGTTGTATTTTAAACTTATACCTAAATTTACGAATTTTTGATATTGCATTTAGTCATAAAGATATTAAGATGCTAGTACTCTAATGTGAAGATGTTTCAATATAAAGTATCTTAACTTTAGTAGGGCTATATGTTTGTAAAATGATATATTAACCATAGCTATTATTAGTTTTCCCTAAATTTAAGGTGATTAGAGATTTTTGATAATGATATTGATAATAGGAGTATTGAAATTCTGGCTTATACATATCATAAATTAGAATATCTTGATCTAAATTTCTGTTTTGTTAGCAAACAATCAATTTTTAATGTTATATGCTCTTGTCTAAAATTCTAATATTTTGATCTTAGTAACTATAATATTACCAGTATAACTATCAAAGAAATTGCTCATTCATGTCTCAATTTAAAATTTTCTTGATTTGGAAATTGTAAAAATATCAGCAAAAAAGCTATGGATCAACTAAATCCAAATATTCATATTGAAAATTTTGAAGAAGATTACTATTATTCTGATTCAGAATCTTCTAGCTCTGAAACTAAATCAGAATTTGAATAATCTAGTTAGTCTAAAGTAGTGATCTTTAGCTTGAAAAATTTCTTGTTAAGCCACAGATTATGCAACATATTAATTTTCGCATATATACATACACAGGACAAAAGTATTTAAACACTATGCAAATTACTAAATTAATTGGGTAAAGTTGAATATAAGTAAACTTTTTTTTATTAATAAATATAACTTTAGTTTTATAAGTAAAGTTATTCATCATAATATTTCACGTGATATATAAAAATTTCAAGGAATTTAAGTAAAAATTGGTCGAACTATAATAATTTAAAATTTATTTTAAAATAATACATTTTTTAATAAAAACTTTATTTATAATATAACATTAAAATATTTAGTCTTAACGTAATTTTTATTACTAAGTAATCTTTTTTGCTATTATTTGAAATATATAATTATAAATTTTTTTATAAAATTTTGTTAGATAGTTATGAAATAATATAAAAAAAACTGAAAAAATTTAAAGAAATTTTTAGCTATATTACAACATTATAATCTTTAGTAAAAATATATAAATTTTAACCATTTATTAGCTTATATTAATCTAAAAATAATACTAATATGGCATAGAATACCCCTTACTTTTTATTACAGCCTTAATTCTACAAGACATACTTTTAACTAACTTTAATAATCTTTCAGGTTCAATTTAATACCATTCTTCTTTAAAAGTAGCTAAAAATTCTGACTTATTTTTTGGTTTAGGACTACGCATCCTGATCTTTCTTTCTAATATATTTCACAAATTCTTAATTGGATTGAGGTCAAGGCTCTGTGCTGGCCAAGGAAGTGATTGATGTAAATTTTTTTCTTTTCAACCCTTTGTGAATCATGCTGCATGTGCTGAAGCATTATCATCTTAAAAAGTGTAGCTATTAGATTCAAGTTCATTAAGTAAAGGTAAAAGATAACGTTTAAGTAATTCTATATACTTTTCAGCATTTAATTTTCCCTCAATTAGTACTAATGGTCTTACTTTAAAGTTGCAAAAATACCCTCAAACTATAACTCCTTCTGACTTTTGAACTGTTAGAATTAAACAATCTTTTGCATATACTTCATGAATCTTATGCTAAACCCATTGATTAGCGTCATTTCTAAATAATTCAAAATGAGATTCATTACTAAAAATTATAAAATTCCATTCATCTTGCCAGTTTTTTCTAATATGACATCAAAGTAAACATTTTTTTTATTTACATTAGAAACTAAAGATTTTTTTCTATCAGTACGTCTATAATAACCCATAGAATGTAGTGCTCGCTTAATAGTTTTACTACTTAATGAAATATTAAGACCCTGGTTAAATTGTTCAGTAATTTCTTCCACAGCTTGTTTACAGTTTTGTCAGATTATTCTTCCTATTTGACGTTTATCTTATTCTAATAAAGCTAGAGGTCTACCACTTCTAGATGCAATATCAGTGCAGTTTTCTTTATTATATTTCGTAATTACATCATGGATAGTAGATTTTGGTTTGCTAAGAATTTCTGAGATGTTTCTTATGCTATGTCTGCCCTTTGATAAACCTACAATTTCTTCACGCTTAAAAGGTGTAAGCTTACGAATTTTTGGTATCTTTATGTATTAAAATAATTATTTATAAAAAAATTTTTTTATTTAAAAAAGCGAAGCAGTGGGATTTTAGAAAAAAAAATAACAAATTTGGTTAGAAATTAGGCATTTATTATTATTTAAAGATCAGTAATATACAGTTAAATTTGTGTAATATCGCAATTGTCCAGATACTTTTGTCCTGTGTATGTATATTCAAAAAAATATATTCTTTATTTTTTTTCCTAAACAATCATATTTTATACCAAGCTATATGCAATTTGCATTAATACTGTTTCAGTTGAAAGACTGCTCTCTATTATAAGATCCTTCTATACAAATAAAAGAAATCATTTGAATGTATATTTTTTAGTTTTTAAATATTTTAATGAATTAATTAATTTTACTTTCTTAAATACAACAAATTATCTATTATAGTCAGAAAAGGTTTTTATTATGGGTCAAATAAAAGGAGAATTTAATTGCTAAAAACAAATAAAAAATATTATAAAAAGTTAAAAATTACAAATATTGCAATTCCAGTAGTTCAAGTATAGTAAGAAGATGACTTATTTCATATATCTGATGATAATTTTTTAATCAAGATTTCAGAGATTCAGAATATAATATTAAAACTTCTTATAAGTGGAAAAATTTAATAAATGAATGAATTAAAATGACAAATAAAGAAGCAGAAATAAATGAAACAGAAGAAGATAATGAATATTTAGAACTATTTATTAATCAAATTATGGATTTGAATCAGATTTTACGTAAATAATATTCACTTATTAATAGAAAAGCTAAATAGAAGTTAGACAATATTTTTGACTTAAAAAACTTTAACTTCTCACATATTTGATATTATTAAATAGGTTTATTGATTTTTATTTTTTATTTAATAATTTGAATTAATATTTTTAGATGAAGTGAAATAAATCAATTTTGTAATAAAGATTATTTATAGGCAATTTTAATATTAAATAATAATAATTTGAATTCAATAAATAAAAATAATTTTCAAAAAATGTCTTTATTACATTTTAAATAAAGTGGTAATTTCTTAATAAAAAGTAATTTACTATAATTTTTAAGTTTTTTTTAATAAAAAATCAATTAGACATTTATTATATATTTAAATAATTTATTAGACATTGTAAATATATGTTGTCACTGTAGAATTCTTCAACTTAAAGTGATCACGTTATCAAGTCTCTACTTAAAATTTTTTACTGCGGCCTACTGTAGTCAAGATGTTAGGATCCGCCTAACTCTTAACTTTACTAAATTTACGCATTAGACTTAAACAAATCTATTAAGTATGAAGATTTGAAAGACGAGATTATGAAAAATTTAATTAAAGAATTTAGATGATGAACCCAATTACAAATAATGTGTAAAGATCACATCAAATTATATAAAGATACAAAAATGCAAAAAAATATAAGTTTTGAACAATTTCTTTATTAATAATTAAACTTAATTGGTAATCTGTAAAAGAGTTAATTTATAACATAAGTAAAAAGTCTATCTATTTATACAAATTTCTTTTGTCATAGCTAACTAATTACTATACTATAAACTAACTAATTTAGTAAAATAAAATATAAGTAAAATAAATATATTGAGAATAATAAAAATACATAAAATAATAAAAATATAAAATATAATAAAAATAACAATAAAATTTAGAATATTAAAAATAAGTATAACACTAAATATTCTTAGACTTCATTTAATTTATAAAATTAGGATTATCATCAGTATTTGAAAGATCTTCAGAATTACATAGATCCTCTGTATTTTTAGAATTTATAGAATTCTCAGTATTTTCAGAATTCTGGATTAGAAGATTATCATATTACGTTATTCATGTGATTTTATTATGATTGATCAATTGCTCTATTAATAATGTCTAATTGGATATCCAATTGAGTATCCAAATGACTAATTGAATAAATAGTTAATACTGGTCACAACCTTTTAACTTAAATGTTAAGATAATTAAAATAAACCTAGTGATAACATATAAACTTTATATAAACTCTAATTTAAATTATATAAAAGATTTTAGGAATCCTATTCTGATATATAAAACTACTGAATAATTTTTATTTTAATATTAGACAGATATCTAATAATATTTTTTTTCTCTGAAGAATATAAAAAAGAAAAGATATATAAATATAAATTAAATGCAAGCATTTTCTCTCTTATAAACTTATATATTAATTTTAAATTTCTTTTAATTAAGAACTTTTTCATAAGTAATTTAAAAAAAGAATTGTTAAAATATTATTTAAAATTGGTAATTCTATATCTTTAAGGTTTCAATACTAATCAAAATATATTTATAAAAGTTAATATAAAAATAATACAAAAATATAAATTAATACAAATATTAACTTTATTTGATTTACTATAAAATAATGATATATTTTAAGAAAATAATATGGTTTGTTTCTTTTATGTTTAATTTGATATTATACTTCTCTTCAATATTTTTTAAAAAGAATTTATTAATTTCTATTATAGGATCTTCATATTTTTTAATGATCTATTAATATGTAATTTAATAATAAAATAAATTATTTTTGTAAAAAAAAATTATTTTTAAATACCTTATCAATTTTATTAAAAAAATAATAATATGATCAGATTATCAAAATGTGATTAATTTATATAATATAACTTAAATGATGAACATAAGTAATATAATTAATATGATCAATATATTAGACATATTTAACAAATTTGATATTTTGATATAATTAACATAATTAATTAAGTTAAAATAATTAAAGTAGTTAAAATTGTTAATATAGTTGAAAAAGTTAAGATAGTTAATATATTATTTATTAAAAATGATATTGTAACTAGTTGCAACTGGTAATAAATAAGCATTACAAGATTACAACTAGTTGCAACTGATGACAAATAAGCATCACATAGTCGTAACTAGTTGCAATACATCTTTATTGTATATATTTTAAAAAATATATATAAAATTTAATTATTTAAACTTTTAAGATAAATCAGGTTTTCTTAATAGAATTTCTTTTAATAGTTTATTATAAACTTAAGATATTAACTTAATTTCATTAAATGTATTTACCTTTAATTAAATAATTTTTCTTATTTTTCTTATTTATTTCTATTTCCTTTCTTATATTTTATTAATAAACTATTTTTATCATAAACTATTAATTATATAACACTTTAATAATAAAAATTTATACATAAATATCTATACTTAGTATAAACTTTATTTAGTATAAATCATATGTTTTAATATGTAGATTTAGAAAAAAATTATTTTCAATACTCTGTTCTAACTATCACAATTTGCAAGGATTGCATATTAACAATACATAGTATCTGAAATAGTTATTTTTGAAAGTTTAACTTCTTCTTTAAAGTTTTAACCATATCTAATCAGTCTTTTTCTAAAAATAAAGATTTAGTTTCAGAATAATTACCTGTGAGGTCTAGATTACTCTAATAAATAAGCTATAAGTGTAATTATTCTGAAATTAATATTAAGAAAATCAAGAATGTGTTTAAAATAGAAAACTTTTGACATTCTGAAACTGTTTTCACATATTCCTTCAGTTATCTTTAATTAAAGTAAAAAGGTGATTACAATAAAACGTAATCGGAAAATTCCCTGATAGTAATGAATTGACAACAAATATAGGTGACGTGATAACCAGGAAAAAAATAGTGGAAAATCTATAGAACTTTCTCAGTTCGTGATCATCGAGAGAATTTCGTAAATCAACATTGTTATCTTCTCGCTTCATAATCTCTTTTGATAACGTGAAAGTGGAGAGGTATTTGAACCTTTCAAGGGTATTTTAAGGAAGGTACTAGCCCTTACCCTTATTATATGATATATATCGACGACAACATCATCGTCATCAAGGCTTATAACAGCTTTCCACGCTTTCAAAAAATCTTTATTGTTGTCATGATTAAAAAAGTTTCGATGTTTCTTATCATATCATACCCATTATTATCGACATATATATATAAATATAAATACAGTTATATTTAATTAAATATCAAATGAAAAAAAGTCAAATTTAATTAAAATCTAAAGGTTGGCAACATCATAATCGCATACATCAATGGAAAAAACAATTCCATCCTAGAAAGTCCGGTATATGTGTCAGCAACTCTACAACATGTTCGTAATACAAACATGTGCAATCAGACTGACATGCGTTGGGCGACTTACGCATCAATCACGCAAAATCAAAGAGGACAATTCTGCAGAGATTTAACAAGATTAAAATGGCACAAACAATGTGTTAACACAGGTAACAATTAAGATTACTTGATGAGATCCAGATTATAAAACAATATGAAAATTTTGAACAAACACAAACCTTATTAGGCAGCAGATTACATCTGCGATCAAATCCAGCAGGCATCGGTTAATACAGGTAAGTACATCAGTATAAGATCAAATTGTTGCAAGTCTCATTCTCCAGAGGTAGGAAAAGATCACAAGTTTCCACCCATCACATCATATGAACTGCTTTGTACCGGTTAGAATATTGAATTAAAAAAAGTTTTGTCAACCTTTTTTTTTATTATTATATATTTTTTAAATCTTTAAGGGATGATCATGAATTCTCTAAAAGTTCATCGATATGCTGAGTTTAATAAATCAAAAATACCGATCATTATACTAGAACAATTTCGTTGCTCCAGGAAAAATTTACGGACGCGTTTTTAAAATGTTACCCAATCAAATTATTTTGTAAGCAATGTTTTGGTATATTTTTTTCTTGTACATTGCAATCATCCCGATATGGTAAGGCCAATTGGACACCTGACGCGTTGGCACAGCAATACAGTAACGCGTATTTGGATTGCACATTCATAAATAAACACACCCCAAATCATTATTCACCCTAAAATCAATCATTATAAATCATATTATTTGAGGGACCTTACGACTTTTCTTCACGTTTAGTTTTTTTTTTTTTACGAACCAACAAGTGTCAATCTTCCTTTATTAAAAATCTTAAAAACCTCTACGAATATTTTAAAAACTTTTCTCAAAATGCCACCAAAAAGTACTACCGCCAAACCAACCACAGGTGGAAAAACCACTGCTAGTTCTGCCGCTGCTAAAGCACCGGCCGGTAAAGCTCCCGCTAAAGCGCCAGCATCTAAGGCACCAAAAGAGAAGAAAACCGGGGACAAACCAAAGAGAAGAAAAGTCCGCAAAGAGACTTACTCAAGTTATATCTATAAGGTCTTGAAACAGGTATATAAATTTTCTTTATGTCAAAGTAACTAAATTTCATTCTGAATTGGGTTGTTATTATACGAATCTAAATAAGCTAGCGAAGGGGATATAATTTATTTATTTTTCATACTATATTCCTTAATTTTTCATGGAGTACCAATTTTGAAGGGGGGATTAATTTTTTTTTTTTTTTTTTTTTTTAAAAAAAAAAAATACTCTCGACGAATAATATCTTTAAAACTTAATATAATGATAACTAATGTTTATAATATCCGTGTGTTAATTATTTAGGTTCACCCTGACACGGGTATCTCAAACAAAGCAATGTCTATCCTCAACTCGTTTGTTAACGACATCTTTGAGCGTATTGCTGGAGAGGCTTCTAAACTTGCAGCTTATAATAAACGTTCCACTATCTCTTCGAGGGAAATCCAAACAGCTGTTCGCTTGATATTGCCAGGTGAATTAGCTAAACATGCCGTTTCAGAAGGAACTAAGGCTGTGACCAAATATACAAGTTCAAAGTAAAATAATATCGTGATGAATCAGGCACTCGCAAGAATTTAATATATATATATATATAAAATATATATATTCATACAGAGTATAATACAGTATAAAAAAATAGTAATCTGTAGGAAATAAAATACATTACATTATTCTTTATAGCTTTTGCGTGGTGGATCTTTTTTTTTTCTTTTCACAAAATTAAATTTGATTTGTTGGAGGTATATGATTTTATTTTTCTATTTCAAAATTTTTTTTTTTTTTTTTTAATTCTTAACAAATAGTTCACACTCACACCTTATTTTTCTTTTTTCTGTAATCATGTTTTATGAGGATATTCCTAATTAAATTGATTATATATGTACAGCTTTTTTTCCCTCCCTTATAATGAGTTTAATTTTTTTTTTTTATTTGGCGGTTTTTAAAAGAAGGTTAAAATAAAAACGTCTTTAATAAGAAATAAATAAATAATAAAATTACAAAAAATTCACTGGTTAATAATATTGGTTCTTTATTATTGTCATTTTGAAATTTTCCATTTGATCTTAATTTGTTAAATGATAATTGTAAATCTATACTTATGGTTCATAAAAGAGAGACCAGGCTTTTATTTCTTTTATTTCTTGTATAAAAAAAGAACATTTGTTCTTTCTATTCGTGAACAAAAAAAGATTTTCTTAAAACATCACGGGGCAATCACGTTACATTTAATTCTGGTCAAAATTACAATACATGTCATTATGGAATTAAAAAAATGAAGATCACGTGAAAAAATACTAAACAGAATATTCGGGACCCAAACGGAAAAACCAATTTATCAGGAGACGGGATCCCTCTCCTCAATTGTAGGAAAAGTGAAACAAGGGAAAATCTTGTATTATAAAGTAAACGTTCTTTGTTCTCGGTTTACTTAATAAATTCCAGATCACTAAAAGTTTACTGCAAAGGGAAAATATAAAATTGAATGCAAGATTCAGCACGAGGTTTAACGTAAACATACTACTTAGGTAATTGTTTTTGTCCATTGTATTATAAATTATATGTTTATATGTTTATATGTGTTATGTCATGATAAATAAAAAAGCTGACTTTGCATATAAAAAAATACCGGGCTTACGGATCAGTTCTATATCTTTACATACCTTTTCTTTTCTCTTTAATGTCCTTCTCAATTAAAAGAACATTCTCTCGGGCCAGGAGCCCACAGCCACCAAAAGCTACTCCCACTATTAGTTCGACACTGAGTACACCTGCTTCTCCCTCCACAATTTCAGAGACTCCTAAGCAAAGTGCTAACAGTCATAGTAATTCACCTTCACCTTCACCTAATCAAAACCAATCTTCAAATCGGCAAAATGTCAAGGTCACTGTTAGAGTTAGACCTCCAAACGCAGTCGAAATGAGTAGAGGTGAAACTGAAGTTTGGGAAATTGATAATACTTTGCAAAAACTTAGTATACTGACCGATTATTGTGAACGATATAGGAAGCAACCTGCGGAATATTTTTATGGTAAACCTTTGTTACATTCTTTGACATTTCTTTCGGAATTTATGCCTACCTTATCTTAATTATTCAAATTTGTAAATTGGTGTACAAATTTTTTTCATTCTTTTCTATAATAATAGATGCGGTATTCACAGGTAGTAATAACAAGGTTTTGTTCGAAAAAGGCGTGCGAGATACGGTTAGGTGAGCGAGAGTAAAATATTTTATTAGATCGTAGTTTGATCGATCGTAAATATTAATATATTTCAATAACGTTGTTATGATCTTAGGTCTACTATGGAAGGTTATAATGGTATGTTTAATAAATAAGGCAACAATTTTTTTTTTTTTTTTTTTTTAAACAAATTCGCAAATTTGGTTATTGTAAATTTCTCATTATACAGGTACGGTCTTCGCTTATGGTCAGACCTCTTCGGGTAAAACTTTTGTAAGTTACTTATTACATCATATTGTAATGTCTAGTCATTTACAAAATATTATGTTAACTCTGATTGTATCTAATCTCAATTTCCTTTATAGACGATGGTATGAATTCTTTTACTTGCTATTTAGTATAAATTTTAACGTTCACCACAGGTTTACAATTTGTTTTAATTGGATCAAATTGACCATATGAAATTTCAGACGGGTATGAATCATTCCTTAATGTAATGAGTGGCTTTATTTATTTAACAAAATAACTTACTTCTTTTATTATCATATAGGTACTGATTCGCAACCAGGCGTTATTCCACAGGCAGTAGAATGTGTGTTTAATTATATCAGAGAGGTAAGCATGATTTTATGTTCGAATTTAATAATCGACTGATTTCAATAATTTTGCAATGAACTTTTAACACAGTGTCAGGAAAAAGAATTTCTCCTTCGTGTTTCGTACATGGAAATTTATAATGAAACTGTGCGCGATCTTTTATCGCCAGAGACTGAAGACTTGAGAATTCATGAAGACAAACGAGTATTTAACTTGATTATTTGATTATTTACTGATTTCATGTTTGAGATAATCAAGTTCATTTCATCACATTTTTTTAGCGAGGTGTATATGTGAGTCCTCTCAAAGAAGTTGTTGTTTCAACACCTAAACAAGTATTAAAAGAAATCATGAAGGGAGAAGGTGAGATATTATAATTCAATAATGTTAATTTCGAAAAGGACGAATACTTATGTTGCACCTTATTATACTAGCCAATCGACATATGAGTGCAACTGATTGGAACGAGCGAAGTAGTCGGTCACATACAATATTTCAAATGGTAATTTTAGTTGATATATTTTAATGATTAAAGAAACCTTTGACGTCCAATATTTTAATAACTGAATCGTCTGTCGAAAGGTTATTGAGAGCACTGCGAAGGGTTTATCGCCACCTACTGCTCATCGTTACACTACGGCTGGTCCGAAAATGTCTGGCGCTTCAGTATCGCTTTCCGTATTGGTAATTATTGGACAATGATATAAATTACGATTATTTAATCACCACAATTCATCATATTACTCTCCATTTTGATAACTAGAACTTAATAGATTTGGCTGGTTCAGAAAAAGCTACAACCTCGGCGGATCGTCGAAAGGAAGGAGCTTATATTAACAAAAGGTTTATGATACAAATATTTTAATTACACCTTTGAATTAATTAATTGTGTACTAACAAATTTTTCATTGATTTTTCAGTTTGCTCACATTAGGCACCGTTATTTCTAAACTTACAGATAGTAATGGGTACTTTATAACGAACATTTATTTATTCTTCACGAAATCAGCTGATTGGATCTTTTTTTTTGATTTTTTTTTCATGTAATAGTGGACATATACCGTTTCGTGATTCCAAGTTGACACGTATTCTGCAAAATTCACTCAGTGGAAATGCCCGGGTTTCTGTAATATGTACTATTTCACCATCGGCTATAAATATCGAAGAGTCGCAAAACACCCTTAAATTTGCAGCTCGAGTGAAGAAAGTTGTTACGAAAGCACATACCAATGCAGTTTGTATTCATATTTCATTTGATTATATAAAAATATGATTCGATTTAATCTAACATTTTGTGAATGTTATCCTTTAGGTCATGGATGATAAAGCTTTATTACAAAAATATCGTATTGAAATTGAGGAACTCAAGGCTAAGCTTGAAATAACTAATGTATCTAATGACAAAGAGAAGGAATCCGAGTTATCGCAAATGTTGGCACAAGAAAAAGCCAAGGTAAGACTTGAAACACAATAAATATTCTGTGTTACATTCATTAAGTATAATAGTGTTCATTTTTTTATGTAGCATGAGGAACAGATGATGGAAGCACAACTTGTACGAACAGCCCTAAAAGAAAGAATTGATCATCTAACCAAGTTGATTTTGAATAATTCCTCGTTCTCAGGGAGTCAATCACGTAAAGTTTTAGTTGAACCTAATGAAATGGAACAAGTTAGTTATATTTTATATAATGTTTTAAATAATTGGCGACTTTTTGGGGGGTCTTCTTTTTTAATCGTTGATTATATACTAAGTTTATAAATCTTCTGGTCTTAAGACTAACAACTTCACAACAAATCCTCAGTTTGAAACTCAAATTGCGGAAAAGGATGTGAAGTTAGCCCTTCTCACATCAGAACTTGATAAAAAGAATAAAATGATCGAACAATTAACCACGGAATTAAATGCCGCTAAACGGATACAAAAAAATAATGAACAAAATGATGTGGAAAAACTTCGAAAAACAACCCAAGAATTGGAAATAGTTATAGAAGAACAATTAGAGAAGATTCGACTTCTTGAAAATGGCAAGAAAGGACATTCTCGTAGTGGAAGCGGCCGTGATTTTATTGGTAGCACAGAGCACGCCGAATTGAGAAGGACAATACAACGACAACGAGATATCATTAGCGAACTTGAAGAGGAAATCAAGTCGAACAGGATGATTATTGCCAATCAAAAGGAAATGTTACATAAAGCAGAACTCTCGCAACTTCAAAGCAAGACAACGAATAGAACTAATGGGCGTCATATGGAAAACGGCACACGTCACGAACATATGGCGGATAATATTAAATCAGCAAATTCGGACAATAGTGGTAATGATAGGAATGATGATGTGTTGTTGAAACATGGTTTGATAATTTCTGATGAAGCAATTCTTATCTTCTTATTGTTTACATTTTCGAATTTCATAACAGTCGGTTGAAGTTGGGTCTCCCTCTGAACGGAGATAGTTTGTGTTATTCTGCTCTTTTGCTTGTAAATTCATTAGGTTAGTGTAAAAAAAACATTTTAACGGTGTAATTAATAGTCACAATCATAATTTGTATAAAACAACATTCATATTCATACATAATAAATCAATCAATTTTGACATTTAATACCTCTTTCATTTTTGGTTATAATGTAGATATTTTTTATAAATTAGGTAATACATCCGCGGATTAAGCATTTCAAACCTAAGGCCATTTAAGCATACTTTTTTTTTTGATTTACATAAATAAGTTATAATTATTATTCATTTCAGGTAAGTAAATATATATAAAATATTTTTCATCATCAAATTCTCTAATCTTTATTATTATTATTATTATTATAATGTTTTTTATTTGTTATTATTATATCATGTAATTCTCTTTCTTTGTAAACCTCTTAAGCCTTTATGATCTTTAATTTATCAATAGACTATTCCTAGATTTTTTACTGGTTTTTTTTTTTTTGTGTATTTTATTCAATAATAAGCAAAACATTTATTAAAAAAAAAAAAAGAATTTATAAAAAGAATTCCCATAGTTTCTACAATTACACTTCATTAATTTAATGTACACTTTTATATACTTTTAATGATCTCATTTACAATAACGATCTGCCTTTACTTTTTCACGGCGATCGAGTAACCTGTAAAACATCAAGTATTTTTAGGTTATATATTATTTTTTTTCATATATAAGAAGTTAAACAAAAATGGATAATGAAATAACTTACGCTTCAGCAAAATTTCCTTCTTTTTTTGCTTTCTTTAATTCTGATACCTCTTCTTTAGAAGTTTTTATTCTTCCACCTCCCCAAGTTTGATATTTTTTACTATAGATAATGTTGAAAATGATTGTAAAATATTTAATCAAAGAATAATCAATAAATCAACTCGTTAAAGACAAATAATGATAATAAAAACATACATTTGCTCAATCTCATATTCATTAATCGTTTTTGTTTCTTTTTTCGTACTTTTAACTTTTTTTCGAAATCTAGCTTGACATTTTATCCTCCAAGTTTCACAGAACCCAATGGTTTCAACATCAGCTCTTAAACTGTAACCACCACCAGCAATCTCATCAACACTTAAAAATCTTTCATAAGAACTTTGTAATGCAATTCCATCATCCCTTATAACAGGTGTCCATTCTTCTTGAGGTCCAATTGCTTCTCTTTCCGCTGTGATTACACCAAATTTATCTGACGCTAAATATTTTCCATCAAATGTTTTTATTGAAATCCGATCCGAACTTCCAATAATTCTAGAACCTATAAATACCGAAGGTATGTCTTCAGGCTCACAAGTTGAGAGTTGTTTATCAACCGGTAAAGGTTGTAAACCAATACTATGATCTTTTTCCGAACAACATAAACAAAATAATGATTCACTGTTGAAGATTAAGAATAAAGGTCCGATTAAGTCTTCTTGTGCTTCCGCAAAAACCCAACCTAAAAAGATACATGATTAGAAAACCACCCTTTTTATGATTTATAAAAACGAGATTAAGATAAAAATAAAATAAAATAAAATACCTTCTTGATTTCCTCCATCTTCGATTGATACTTCAGCTTTACGTTTTTTTTTTTTTCTATTATAAAAAAAAAAAAGTTGAACCAATTATTTTTAAGAAAATGTGAAAGAAAATAATAATTTTTATTAATAAATTAATTTTACTTTGTCTCTCGTTCGCCTTTGAAACTTAATTTTCCTTTTGATTTATATTCTGACATGATGAAAAAGCTGTGTTATATGACGAATTTTTTGTTTGGGTGAAAAATGATCGGAATGATCGTCGATTTTTCTTAACTAATCACCAAACTATTTATTTAGTGATACTTCTCCTCCCATTGTGAGACATATCACGTGATTTACAAATAGCCAATATTTCAGTCTGGGATTTTACTAAATGTAATATAATGAGCTTTCCTTTTATAGTAATAAATTGTCGATCAAGAACATTCTAGACATTTCTAGACTTAATAATTTTCTTTATTGACAACTTTTAATACATTTTAAAAATAAAATAAAAGTAAATTTAAGTTATTAATATTTTTACCTATAATATTTTTAAGTTTTGAAAATTTTTATATTTTATTTGATAAACCTTAAAATATAATCAATTTGAATCATCTAAAAATGAAATTAAAGAATTAATAATTAGTAAAATTAAAGATTTTGTCAAAAAAGTTTTAGATTTTTAAAGATCTACTGCTTTATGTGTTATGAGATTAAATTTCTAATAGACTTTTATTAATTTAATTTTGTTTTAATAAATTTGATTCTCTTCATTTATACAATATTGCTAAATTTTTTTAGTTCTTCACTTAACATTTATCTACCAATATTTTAAAAATTTCATTGATTAATATCATTCTAAATTTACAAGTTAGGATTTTTATATTTAAATTTGAAATCAGTATAATTCAGTTACAAAATGTATAAGATTTATGAATCTTACTTTCAGAATATTAAATAAATTAGTATACAATTTCACAAACTTAGTAAAGTTATATGTTATAATTTCTCAATATAATTTTTCAATTATTACATCAAAACTTTAATATTAATTCCAGAATCCAAATCATAAAATTATTTTTTTTTCTTAAATTAAATCACAAATTTTAGGTTTTAATTGTAATATCTATTCTTTATCAATAGCTTTTATTAATTAATAAATTAAATATTACTTAGCAAATTAAATAGATACAAATATTTATCTAGCAATAACTTTTAATAAAAGTTTATTTATATAAACATTTATGTAAAAATTTAAAATAATCTATAAATAAAGAAAAACCTATTTATATTTTAGTTAAAATATAAGATCAATTTAATTTTGAGCCTATTTATGATAACTTTTAATAGAAGAATTTTTATAAAAAGTAATATATAACTACATTAGCTTAAAAATCATTACATGCTTATATATGTAAAATCTCATGATTTGTAATAATCAGCATATTTTTTAAAAAATTATAAACTGATTTTTTAATTAACACTCTTAAATTTAAAAAAATTCTTTTATGTCAATATTTCAATTTAACTTAATAAATACTTTTAACATGTTCATTTCTTCATAAAGGGTATTTGGAATTAATATAAATCAAGAAAAGTTTTTTTATTTCTGTATATAATGATAAGATATTCTATTATAGATAAATACAATCTATTCATAATCGTCTCATTTAATACTGAACATCTTCTCAATACATTTGAGAACCTTTCAAATATTAGTAATTAAATTTAAATTAACATCTATAGGATCAGAAATAAACTTTTGCAGTAAGTAAATATTGCTTTTTAAATTTAATTATTATATAATATTAGAAGAGAAATTTTGATTTTTCAATTTAAAATTATGAGGATGAATAATAAATAACTTTTTAATAACATTTGTAATCTTAAACAGCTTATTATATTGTTAACTTATTTTAATTATTGATAATAATTTAGCATTACATATAGGATTAGATTTGTTTCTTATTATCAATATTAAAAGTCTAATAAGTAAGGTTACTAGACAAAACTTAGAGATTTTACAAGTCGTCTAAATGAAAAAAGGTAAAATTTAGTGAAATTATATTAAAACCTTATTAAAAAATCTGCAAAATTCTAGAAAAGGTAAAACTATATCAAAGTTTATAAAAATGTGAAATTATACCAAAATTTTATTAAAAAATTAGTAAAACTATAGTTTAGACATTTGGTTAAATCCAAAATGAATTTAGACAAGCAATCTTATTGACAAGTAAAACATTTTTTCATATATTTTAATTAACTTTATTGATATATTAAATTATTGATATATTTATTTCTTGTTTTTTTAATACAAAATTTCTCTAATATTATTATAAGATAATTAATAAGTTTCTTATAAGTTATATTTTTCATATTTGAAGTTAAATAAAATGCTTTGTATTACTTTTGAATAAACTTAAAATATAATCAAGAATTAATTAGTTTGAATATTATCATATCAATCATAATGAAAGTCAATAAAGTTTGTAATTATATAGAATACAATTATATTATATTTATAATCTAAATAGTTTTTTTGATCTTTTTAAATGTTAAAAATAAAGACTTTTAGAAAATGATAATTGTTTAGTAGCTAAATTTTCTAATCAGTTAGTAAATTTAGTATAGTTACTGGATCTAATAATATGATTATCAATATCAATAATAATTTTAGATCTTGTTATTAAATATTTAATTATAGAGATAGCAAAATTAATAGCTAAAATATATTTTAAATATCTTGCTTTATAAATAGCTTCAATCATAATTGCACATTTAAAAACTTTTTACCTTCAAGCTAATTTTCATTTTTATTGTATATTAAAGTCTTTATAAATATTATAATAATTAAATTTTATTTAAAAAACTAATTAGAAGAAGAATATCTTAAAAGATTATCTAAGCTAAATCATTTATGATCACTTATCAAATTAATAATATCATAATATATATTTTTATATTTTCTTTATAACTTTAATAATAGATTTTTTATTTTTTAATAACAGATTCTTTATTTTTAATTATTAAATCTACTATTCTACTTCCTTTTTAATTCTTTGTTTTCAGATTTTAATTGAATAATTATGCTCATATTTTTTATAAGTTCAGCATATATTATTCGTTAAAATTTAAAATTAATTAATACTTTTTTGTATCTAATAATTTTAATATAAGACTTTCATAATCTTATTATAATATAATATCTTGCTCTTCATTTGTTCTTAATTTTTTTGTTGATTATTTTTTTCAAAATTATTTGTTATTATTAATTGTTAAAAAAGTATTAATAACAATAATTTGATTATAATACCTTTACAAATTAAATAACTTTTTAAATAATTATGTAATAAATATAACTCAGAAAAATATTTAGCAAAAATATTAATTTAGTTCACTATTATCTTTATTGATACATATCTTCACTTTTATTT